ATAAAATGTACACAAATTATTAATAAAAATAGATAAATTATATACAAAAAAGGTAATTTTACATAAGAAATTGTTATGAGTTTCTTATTTTAGTTATTTTAGTAATAATTTATTAACTTGTGCACATAAATTTTAATTTAGATTTTATATACTGATTATCACTATTTTTTGTACAATATCTTTTTAACATATATTTTATAATATATTGTTATTATCTATTATACTATTTATTTTATAATATATTGTTACTATCTATTGTATAATGTATTTATAATTACATGAAACATTATCTTAAAATAGTTTGTAAATAAGGTACTGTGAATATGAATTTTAAGATATATTATAAAAAATTTAAGTTGGTAGCAAAGTTTACGCATCCTTTTTTGCTATTAATAAATTTCTGGCATCACTAAATAACCTTTCAATTGAAGTAAAAGTAACTGGGATAGGAAGGTAAAATCTGGCTAATTTTGAAAGAATTGAAAATCGTTCTCTGTAATCATGTCACCAAGTAAAAGAATCCAATTGGTAAGATAAGTAAGTAGTTACTTCATTATCTTGTATATGGTCAGGCCGAACGATAATTATAATAGTACTAAGTGGGCATTTGATCGCAGCCAAAATTTTTTTGGCCATTCGACTCAAACAGCCAACCAGCCAATGGCTAACCTCGGCCAAATGGCCAACACTGCTTTAAAGTCTAATAAATTTTGTTTTTAAAAAACTTTAACTTACAAGGAGTGAATGACACCGGATATGTGACACATGAGTTTAAAATAAGATAGGTGTCTATTTATCAAGCTTACTGTTTACTAAAGAAAATCTTTTATATAAGAGTTTTATTTGACCCAAGATGTGACCGCAATTAACAATTATTTTGATTCAAATATTATAAATTGTATACCAAAATTGTAAGTCGCTTGTGTAACATATAAACCAATCTTTTATCCCTATATATGGGATACTATCATTTTAAAAACACTTTTTTGATCGATTGTTTGTACACAAATCGATGCGTTTTTTTTTATTTGATAATTTTATTGGCTTAATCGGGTTCCGAAATTAATTAATTGCTTTGCTCTATAAGTATATTTTTCAACAATAAATAAAAAATATTAGAGGCATGGCGTTAATTGAACACAACATCGAATAGTTTCAAAGTCGCACCCAAATGAACCTCTTTTTTTTTTTTTTTTTAAAAAAAATAATACGAAACATTCATGAATTATCCAAGCTTACGTTATGTTAAAAAGTTTTAAAAAATGACTTGATTTTAAGGGATCTACCGTCATTTGCAACATATCAAACTTTTTTCAATTCGATTCTTTTCGTAAAGATTTAATTAATCAATATCGCATGAATGATTCTTGTAAAGTTTAGAAGATCAAAGATAAATCACAACAATATGTATTTTTTATCCATGCAAGTCACCGAATATGGAAAACCTTTTACTGAATAAATCAGCACCGAATCTTTGGGAACTGCCAATTTAATGATTTGAGTTTAATAGAGAGGGCTGAGATCGTTCTTTCAGTAACGGTTTTTAATGTCTACATTTATCCAAAATAAAAAAAAAATATTTTTTATTGGGACAATATTAAAAGATGGCTTATCTACAAGTTTTTAGGAAAAAAAAAATAATAAATGTAGTGTAACATGCGGGTGATACCCGCAACTTTTATTCTGACAAGTTATTTGTTACATAATTTCCATGATTTTCTCACATAACGAGTGGCTTAATTCTGCATCGCATAATTTCTTATCCTTATTTTTTCCCTAAGTATACTGTAAAATAATTATCTACATAATTTTTTTTTTAAAAAAAAAAGAAGTGAAATACAAATCTGTCTTATCATATAAAATAATGTTATTAGAATTAATTTCATTAAAAAAGAAAGGTGTTAATTTTATCTTATAATTTTTTACGTCCGTAAACACGAACTGTATGAATCATAGTTTCATATTCGACCAGCTCTCTTGTCATCGCTTTAACTAATTCATCATATTCTTCTGAAGGAATATTCATAGCCTTCATTAATGGAGGTTTAATATTGGTGAAAAAAGCAGTATGGTTCTCTACAGCCTTAAAGATAAATAAAACATTAATTATCTCATTAGAGTTGGAATGCTCAGATAATAATAGCTTACGATTTGTCCAAGTCGACCAGAACTTTTGTCATAAGAACAGAATTTGTCTCCTTTAACAATTTCTTCAAGTTGTCCATTTTTTTCCATAAATGATGGTAACTTTAGAAGGATATGTGGATCCTGTCCTTTCTCGGCCATCAACCCCAATACTAAAGACGTTAATTTTAATTAATGGAACGTATTATAAAAAATGTTTAAAATGTAAATGTTCAATTACAGGCATCGCTAAGACGTTTAGCGTTTGGACCTAGTGGTTTCAATTCCGCGTCAGCTTCCATAAGCTAAAAACGAAAATATTACGTTCAGAGAGGTCTTAACAATTTAATTTTAATATTCTTATATTTTCGGAAATACCTCCAAGTATCCACCAGGTTTCAACACCCTCACTAGCTCATTTACTACGCCTTGCCATTTATCAAGAGGATACGCACCAAGTAAGAGACGTTGATGAACAAAATCAATTGAATTGTCTTCGAATGGAAGACCATCCAAAATATTTCCCTTGATGAAATTAATATTACGAGGTTTTATTGTCGTCGGAATTACAGGTGAGATATCAGTACCAGTGAAAGATGGCAAAGGATATTCCGTGGCTAATTCAAAGAGCCAAGATCCAGCGCCGCAACTTTATGTGCATCGAGTTAAAAGATGGAATTAATTTAACAACCCTAATTCATAATAAAATTATTACCAAAATTATTACCCTATATCAAGAACTTTTGTTTCCTCTTTTTGTAACAAATCATCTACAGGGGCGCTAAAATTGCTTTGCCAAAGATATCTCCACATATAATGTTGCAAATGTAAACGATCAAGTTCTTCGTCATCATTTGGTAAGAAGTATTTTATGGTTTCAACATTATGAAACCTTCTCCCTTCTTCAATGCGAAATTCTTCTTTAGTTTTAGGGGGGAGTACTTGTTTAGGTTTTTGTTTGATTTTTGATTTACTATATTTGATGCCCATTTGAGTGTAAGTTGAAGTTGAATTATCATCAAATGTTTGGTCACTCATGATAATATGGGAATTTTATAAAAAAAAAAAAAAAAAAAAAAAATTTCATTAGATTATTTATTTGACACTTGCCCGTTTTTAAAAGATTTGAACTATCTAAAAACGGCGTTTATATAACATGAGATGAACGAGATAGGCTAAACACAAGCATTTTAAGAAGGATGAAAAGAGATCACATCGTAATATAATCTTACGTTAAACAAAAAGAATGTAAAGAACAAAAAAAAAATATTTAAGATTTGAATGTAAATGCAATTAAATAATAATAATTAGTGACCAATAAATCGACTAAATTTCGTAACACGATGATATAAAATTAATTAATTTCTACAAAAGTGTATTACTGTTAGTAATCTTCCTTTCTAGTTAAAAATTCATATTTTAATTCAATGATGGGTTTTGGACTTATTTTTTAATTTTAAATATTTTGGACAAGGTTTTGGACATATGAAATTGTGTCCAAAACCTGTCCAAAATCGTCCAAAACTGTCTAAAATTGTCCAATTGCCCAACACTGTTTTAATGATCATTAATAATTCAAGAACTTTTTTCTTTCAAAAAAATTCCGAGTAAATATATACAACGTACAACAAAACAATTAAAATAAGTTACGAATTCCATATGTTAGTTCAAATTTGAAACTATTGTTCGACCAATTTCATAATTAGATGAAATCTCCGAAATAAATTATAATCGAGATTTTCATGACCCTGAATATATTTTCCCGATTTAGCTTTTTACAATAACGATTTGTACCTTCGGAATTTTGTGCGGCATTGTAATAAACTAGATAATATCGGTATGGGGATAATTTTGTCGGTGACATGTCATATATTCATATTTGTCACCTGATTAAATTTATAATATGTATATTCGGAGAAACGCAGATAAATTCTAGCATTCTTCACTTTTAGGAAAGCTTTATATATATATATATTGAATTTTCTAGGAAATGATATATCTTTTAATTATGTAATTATTTATATAAAATTGTTATAAATTGTTCTTTTGTAATGTTAATAGTAATAAATTTTCAATAAATGTTACATTTAAAATAGATAGTTTTCCTAAACTACTTTTCTGCTTTAATATTTAAAGTATTATTATAATTAGACAATTAATTATATTATATTATGCTTAAAGAGATATGCTTATATTGAGGTTTTTGTTATATAATTACATATTAGTAAAATTCTAATATTAATATGATTAAAAAATTTTTATTTTTATACATTTTTGAGTTAAAATTAAGGAGTTTGCTATTTATAACCACTGGTATTTAACACCAGAATTACATAACTACATTTAATTATGTGATTTAATTATTGATCATGTAATATTTTAATTATGCTATAAAAAAATATTTTTTTATTTTAAATTTTTCAATATTTAAACTTTACAATGGCTAATGATTAAACTTTGTAATGACTAACTAGTGATACAAGATGTCTCATTATCCGTCCGCTCAAAAATTGAGTAGATACATGATTGGCCTTTTTTATTACACATATGCTTCAGACTTAACAACGATTTTCAAAACTGTTTCCTAATATATAATAACATAATTATAACTATATATATATAGTTACTTTTAATTCTATAACTATTGTTACCGTTATGATACATTTTTAGAAGAATCAACTTTATATTTAGAGTATCCTTGAATATTATGATCTTTAACTAAGCAATATTCACAAGTATTTTATATGTCTGGTTTGCTAGTGTGATTATTATTTTATTTTTTTACTGATAATTTATATTATTTTGAAGGTTGATCTTTAGATTTATAATATTTCATGTTTGATACTTCAAAAAGTATATTTAAGGGTTATTATATCTTACTCTATTTCAGTAACAATTAATGCCTCTAACAAATTTTGTGATATGATATCTGTATCTATATTTTTGTTATCTAATTCTTCAATAATCAATGCAGAATTAACAAAAATATCTGATCCAATTTGAAGAACTGGAATATGTCTGTACCCATCTTTTATACTTAAACCTATATTCTGATAATATTTTATGATAAATTAGATTAACATTTCAATTAATTCTATTGTAACATCTTCTATTATAATAACTTGTATACTAATTTTAATCACACATATTACAATATTAAATTTGACCTTTATGCTAACCTGTTCTTTGATAACTAGTATACATATATTGCTACTTCTCAATTGATTGATATATGTTAATAGAATATTTATACTATTTCTTTCTCCTTTAGTTATCATAATGAAATTTATTATATCATATAAAATTGAATTAAATTAAGAAATGATATATAAAAAGTTACTTTATTTAATTAAGTAAAAATCTTATATTAATATTAACATAGCAATCCTTAATTAATAACAGCTATATATGTATAGAAAAGTTGAATCACTAAGTATAATAATATAATAAGATTTTGATTTTAGTGTAATATATAACGCTTTCTATTATGAGAGACATTATTAAAAAAATCTTGTAATCTAATTTATAGTATATCATAACTTTATTCTACTATTCTATTCATTCTGATATTATTTTCTTAAACCTTAAATTATAATAATGATAATATGTTATTGAAATTACCTTAATATTATAAAACTATAAAGATCAATAATATTTTATTACCTATTTGACTGAAATAAGATTTCCTTGATAAAGTAATAATTATTTTATTTAAGCTCTTTGAAGCAATAATGGAATGGGTAACAAATACTTCTGTAATACTGAATCTATTTCTTTAAAAATGGTATTGTATATTGATGAAAGACTAATTGATAAATTTATTCTATAATAATCTTTGATTTATTATTGAGCTTCTTTATCTAATTCTTTTTCAATAGCTTTAATCAGTTTTTTTAGTAGAATACCTTAGTCTACCATTTTTTTAATAACTCTATTTATAGATTCAACTCATTAGATGCTTTCTATTTCTGATATAAACACTTTTTAAATAGAATATCTTATTCAACATGTTCTATTAGCATATAGTCATTTATTGAAATATAAACGATAGATTCATATTTGAATAGTATTTCTTAATACTTTAAATCAAATAGTTCTTAATTATCCCTTAGATTGTAGGGTTTCACAGGCAAATTTACTTGCTTATTTACTATAAATTCTCTTCTGATTTACTTTTATGAATAATTAATATTTTTAAAAAATTTTTTTTTAAATTA